CCACCAGTCTAAGATAAGGTTATTTTTTTATTTTGTTTTTCTGCTTTATGACGTCATGATATTAACAAGGTAGCCTTCCTGAACAGGCCAGTTATGTGAACAAATTAATATGCATATCTTTATATTCAACTCTGACGTTCATAATTAATGTTTACGGTAGCTTTTTCACGGTACCTTATTCCAGTGTACAATAGCGATATTAAAAAGACTGGTGATATTAAATTTTTAATACCAAGCCCGTAAGACTTTTGTTTATCTTTGGAACAAAAGAAGATCTTTTTGATGAAATCTGTGAGATTTCTGTCCCTCTATTGACACGCAGCTACTACTTTCAAGCCCCAGAAAGGTAGTAAAGACATCATTAAAGTAATCGGTAACACTTTACAATAAGGTTCATTAGTTAACATTAGTTAACTACCTTAGTTAACATGAACTAAGAATGAACAATACTTCTTCAGCATTTATTAATTTTAGTTAATATTAATCTCAACATTTACTAATACTTTATTAAAATCAAAGGTTGTATTTAGTTAATGCACTGTGAACTAACATGAACAAACAATTAACAGCTCTATTTTTATTAATTAACATTAACAAAGATTGATAAATACTGTAACAAATGTATTGCTCATTGTTAGTTAAAACATTAACTAATGTTAACTAATGAACCTTATTGTAAAGTGTTACCAAGTAATTCATGTTACTTCAGTGGTTTAACCTCAGTTATATGAAGTGACGCGAGTGCTTTGCGCAAAAAAACATAATCTAGCACACAAAACAACGTCTGCCTTGCGTCAATACAACACACATGTGTCGTGGTGCTCTCGTAAACACGCGTTGGAAATGAATATTTTGTAAATAAAGTGGTACTTTCTGCGCAAACAAAGCACTCTTGTCACTTCATATAACTGAGGATAAACCACTGGAGACACATGGATTACTTCATGATGTCTTTACTACCTGGGCTTGAAAGTGGTAGTTACGTAGACTCCCAATGGAGGGATATGAAAGCTCTCAGATTTCATTAAAAAAAATGATGAATGTAAATCTTACGGGTTTGGAACGACATGAGGGTGAGTAATGACAGAATTTTCTTTTTTAAGTGAACTATCCCTTTAATGTGGGGTTAAAAAATGTCATTTTCCCATTAAAATATAGCAAATTATAGTCTATACAAGAAAAGAACTTTTAAAAACAGCTAATAGATGTACACATTTTAATATCAGCCAACTAAATTCAGTTTAGAAGGGCTAAATGGTCCCCAGCTCCAGCGCCGATGGGGGTATTCATTACACTTGATCTTATAGTGCTGCCAAAACCTTCACATTTAATTGTGTTTCTAAATCGGTGACTTTCTCAGCTGTTCTTAGAGGGGAAAAACTTCTTAACTTATGATAATGTATCTGGATAAACTAAGACGTTAAAAATGAGCTGTGTCCTCAGAGGGCTCTTGCAAAAGCATGTTTGACTAAACTAATTTCCTGTTAGAAATCTTTATTTGGACGAGAGTGTAATAAAGTGGGTGATCTCTGACTGAGTCTCATTATCAGGGGGACGTTTAGAGAGATCTTTGTCTCAGGGTGCCAGAATAGTTTTTCCATCAGGGGACGCCAAAGTGTGACAGTCTCAGATTAAGCTCACTTTAATGACACACTTACACTCAGTTAAGACTGTCAGGCAGAGCAGGGCTATTCAGCTACAGTCCTGGAGGGCCACTGCACTGCAGAGTTTACAGCTCCAAAACCTTTATGGGACTTTAGTTCATGTCTGTTTGCTTTGAGGTCATCTATGTGTACTCCTAAAGTAGAACATTTTAAATGCAAAACTCTCTTTTTGGAAATTGGGCCAATAATAACATTATATACATAATATAATCTTAATATGATTTTACACAACAATAAACAAAAAGTAAATATTGAGTCATTTTAGACACAATATTGTCAGTTACTTAGTTGCCCCGCCAATGAAGCCACAGCAGAATAAACCGTTCCGCATCTCATAGGAACATGCAGTAGTGGCGTTTCTGAACAAATTGTTTGCGTGAATGATTTAATGACTCGCTCATAAAGACAGTCACTTGTTTGGTTATTGGTTATTTTAATATTAATTACATACCATTATTGTATTTATTAATATTTGGAGTATTTATTTTTGTAAAATTTTAATTTTGTTTTGTGCTTTTGTCATTTTTATTAATGTTTTTTATATATATATTTCCATTTAGCTTTAAGTAATTTTATGTAAATTTTAATTTTAGTAATTTTTGAATTTATTGTACTAATTGTATATCACACTTCTGATAAATATTTTACAATGGAAAGAAAGCATCAAGTGATTATTGTTTTTGGTTAGGGTTCACCTTTATCCCAGGGTTAAAAATGTACTGTAATTCAGAAGCAAAAAGGCACAAAGTGTAATTGCAGTTTTATACATTTTAATAAAATTTTATAAATTCTATAGATGACCTCTTATGACCAGATGAAATGTTCTGTAACGGGTCGGTTATGTTCTGTTATAGTTCCATTTTCACTCTGTTGGGTCTGTTCCTGTTTGCCTGATTTCCTAGTTAGTTTCCTCATTAGTTAAAGCTGCAGTCGGCAGTTTTTCCTCTTTGTCGCCATCTCTGTTCGAAATCTGCAATTGCAGTCATTCGCGGAATTATCAACTTTACGTGAGTTGTACCTCGGCACAGCACAGCGTGGATGAATCAGTCAGTCACCGCGCCGGTGTGGATACTGGCATTCAGAATCAGATTCTACTTTATGGAAGTATGACCAACATAAGAATTTTCACTGGAAAATGTCATCTGAACAAATAAGAAACATCCACTTTTGTTCTTCTGACCAACTAACTGAAATAAAGCATTGCAGTAAATCGCGCTGATTAAATCTAACGATCGTTTATCATATCACGTCAAACCGTGCAAATTATACTTTGTTCTCAAATTGTTAATGTTAACAACATCAGCATTGCGTGACTAAAGCCCTTCAGATATTAATCCTTGTTTTCGCATGGGCCGGTTGCAGTCTCTTTTTCCAAACTCTCAGTCCAAAGTCTTTTGCATTTTTTGCATTGCACCTCCAGCATCCTCACACGCAATATAGCCTACTAGCCGAGACTCCTTCTTTATGTGTACAGATGTGACATAATGACGCAAAGACATGCTCGAATCTCCCGCGGAAATCCACCAGTACCACTGGAATTAAAACATTATTACAAGCTTACCGTTTTGAATCGAGCTACGGCAAGCAGATAGTTTTGAACACTGGCTGATTATGTTCTTGCTCCAAAAAATTATTTTGGATAATTTTTAACCCCAAAAAGTTACGGACTGCAGCTTTAATTAGTCCCACACACCTATTCTGTTTCATCCTGATTACGTTTCCTCATGTCTGAAATCACATACTCTCTTGGTACTCATTTTGAATATGTATTTACCTCACGGCCACTAAAAAAGTATGTTCTATATAGCATGTGTATAGCATGAATGTAATCTGGATGTACTAAATTCGCCATGTTGTCATTCTCATGTGACCTACCAGCGTCAGTTACGTCGCTTCTCTGCCATTCATAAATCCTCTCCTGTAACCTCGAAAGTAAAGTGTCCATCTAATGCACACTTCAGAATCTTGCCAAAAGTTGTAGGTCATCCGGGTACTTTTTTCGTATTCTTGTATGAGTACTGTGAATTCAGAGATACTTCTTTTGTCACATACTGGTTTTCGCCTACTATATAGTTGGGAAGTATGCGATTTGGGCTGCAGCCTGTGTTTCCTCTGTTCTTTGTCCGGTATTGTTTATGTTAAGTGTAGTTGCTACTCTGATTTCTCCTACATGTTCACATTGTTTATTAAAAGACTCTTTATTTATTTTGTGCGTGTTTGTCTACACATTACACTGAAAGAGCACTGCCGGTGAATATCCTTTGAAATTCAGTTTTACCACATGGAACTGAGTCCGCCGGGACAGGTTTCAGGGCGATTTTGGACAGTTTCTCCATGTATGACATTGGGTTTTTGTCAGGTAGTTTTTAATTCATAAAAATCCAAACTTATTTTGTGTGCGAGTCTGTGCAATTGGGTCTACTCGCTTAGAGAAGAAATAAAAACATTTTCAGGTTCGGTCAGGTTTAGTCTTTAATTTCCTAGTGCACCAGTCAGGTCGGATAACATGGTCATAATAACGGGCCGGGTTTGGGATTTAACTTGATGTCTAGTTTTGAGCTCCTTCACTGAATGGCACGTTTTGTTCAATCATTGTCATAATCCCACTGCAGCACAAGGAAGTTTCGGAGAAAGCAGTGGCACACACGTGCCAAATGCATTGTGGGACATTGTGTGACTTGACAAGAGCTTCGTTTACTGCTTTTAGGATGGTCAAGCTCAGCTTTCACATTAATGCGTTTCATATGACAACCAGATGTCAGTAACATTACTCAGTAACATCTTTCAGGGGTTTAACACGTGCTAAAAGATGTCAAATCAATGATTAGCTGTTCCATCACACCCTTTCTTCAAGCTTTTGCAGCGGACTACATGTGACACACTGCGAAATAAGAATGACATCTGCATTATAAACGTATCCGAACGTATCACACTCACACATTCACGCGTATAGTCCCATCCAGATGGATTGTCTTCACTCTCAGCACTGAGCCGCTGGTGAGAGACTGCAGTTATTTCAGTCTCATTGCAGTCTCTCTCTCTCTCTTCCTCTCCCACTCTCTCTTTCCTCTCTTCTTATATCGTCTCTGATTAAGCATCATTCTCGCATGCTAGGCTTTCATGCATCCTCTTTCACACTCACTCTCTCTCTCTCCGTCTCTGTTAGCTTCTCTTTCACTTACAGCCCCAGTGATCATGCCGCATCCCTCTCTCTCTCTGTCCTCTTCTCCGCCTGTCTGCTTTTGTTTACATATATCTTCATCAAACTGACTGTTTTTTGTGTGTGTGTGTGTGTGTGTGTGTGCCAGCTGAGCTGCACTTGCCTGTTTTTTGGTAAGAGGACATTTAGATGTGGGACGCAGCGTGTTTTTCACCTTGCTGCTCACTCATCTGGACGGCTTTCGGGAAGGGGTCCTGTTCAGACTTTCAGGAATACAGCGATCATCCGGTTTGCTGCCCGCCGCGTGTTTTCCCATGAGTCCCGGAGTCTGTTGCATAGCTGTGCATCTCCTGCGGTGCACTCGGACTGCTCTTATAGTCTCAGTGAAGAGCGTGGGCTGAAGAAAACCCCCCTCTGCCCGTCATCAGCCTGAGGAGAAACACCGCTGAGGGTCAGCTAAGAACAGTGGAGAGGAAAGAGGCAAAACGAGAGAAGAGTGAAGGGCAAAGCAGCACCGCACAGGTTAAGAAGAGCATCAAGCGCCGGCACAGACGGGATCAGCTGCTGTTGGGAAAGAGAGCGAGAGTTTAAGAAAGAGAGAGGCAGGAGCACTTTGAATTTCTGAACTCTGAAATAGGGACTCTTCTGCTTTTGAGATCCAACTCAGAACTGCATTCTGATTCTCTTGGACTTCCAGGACAAGCTGTGTCAGTTTCCCCTGCTCAAGATCCTTTGCAGCTAACAGTCATGCAGGTGTCCTTCGCGTGTACGGATCACGGGTTGAAGGCCCCGCGCACCAGCGAGCCGAACAAGCAGAACACGTCGAGTCCGAACACGGCCAGCGCGGCACGGGCACGGTTCCGAACGGTGGCTCTGATTGCTCGTAGCCTGGGCTCCTTCACGCACAGGCACCACATTTCCCTGAAGGAGTCCACTGGAAAACTCACCGGCATGAAGTACAGGTACGGAAAACTTCCGGCAACCACAGGCAAAACTCTGATTATATTGTTGTGAGATATCAGTTCTGACAGTTTTTTTTGTATCTTTTTACAGCTATAGTTTTGATAATGCTCATCTTTATTTTTAATTTTTATTCTCAAAAAGACATGGTAAAGGTTTCTATAAAAAAATAGCAGTTTACTCTGTGAATGAACAAACTCATTGTAGTAAATTCTGTCATTATACTGAAATCTTAAAGGAATAGTTCACTTAAAAAAGGACATTCTGTCATAGTTTGTTGTTCCAAACTACTAGGGTGAATTTTTTTTCTTTTGTGAAGCACAAAATATTTTGAAAGTCATTGGGGTCCAAAACAACACTGGACCTAACTGACTTTCAAAAAAACTATAAAAAAAAACAAAATTTATGTTTATGTAAGTTTATGTTCGAAAGAAGAAAGAAAGTCATGCAGGTTTGGAACGAGTAAATTATCACAGAATTATTTTGGCTGAACTATACTTTTAAGTGTTTAGTTCATGTGGTAAAAATTTATAGAGGTCTTAAAGTGATTGTTTGATGGAGTGGTTAATAATGAGATTTGCTGGTGTGTGAATGATGAAGTGAAAAGTAAATTGTGATTGGCTACATTTTTGAACAACTTTTTTTTTTCCATTCATTGACAACGAACAGCTGATTATTTTCTTGTGTGTGATATTGTGAATTAGAGTAAAGGCTGGAGAGCTGAAAACACTCAGTGTGTGTGTGTGTGTGAGAATATGAGGGGGAGGTGTGAACTAATGGTTTTTGTGCTGGAAATAATTAATTGCATCTGAGACACAAGTATACCACAAGCATGCAACAGTTATGGCATATCTGCTAGTTTCCATAACGACAGAGAACTGGCAGTTTGCCTGCGCTTTACTCTAATTGGACATATTAGCTGTTGGGCAGGGGTCATAATTGGGCAGCAGGGTAAACCTGAACACCCTCGGCTGATGTCCAGCTTCACACACTCATGTTTGACATTTATTACTTTTCTACACTTTCAATGAATTCATTGCATGATTAAAAGGGCAATTTCATGAGTCTTAATCTTTTGAAATAAGAGTTAATTTATTTATTATAGAGAACAGATACTACCTGTATATCTTTTCCAAAGGATCCCAGTGTTAGGAAAGTGTGGCTGAAGTTTATTTGTTAACAAGATCTGGGTCACATTAGTCTGACCTTAAAAGGTTTGTGTGGCACATTTCAGCATAGATTGTTGTTTTGTGAACTTGTCACAAGGTAACGCAGGTATTACAGAGAGGTAATTATTGAAAGATGGAGCAGTGTAAGCTATTTACTAGAGAGCAAACCCATCTTGTGCTCCATGTGTAAACACAGCAAAGAGCTGTTCATTCTACATGCAAAGAGGCTGTTTAGTCTTAAAGGAACAGCAGGGGGAAAAAATGGTTTAATTCTAAGGGTAAGAAAAAGAGGGTGGAAAATGATATGTGATTTTGAGAAAGGGTGAAATATTTATATATATATATATAGTGGCAAAAAGTGATGTCCGGCCTAGCAAAATTGACATATTCACCCTTTATTAAATCTCAATTAATTTAAACTTATATTAAAGATTTTGTAAGTATACTGCAGTTGAGCTTGGAATCAATTGTCATCGCAATAAAACATGCAAAACTTTGCAAGCATAATTTTTGGCCAGGTAATTAAAGTACAGAACGATCTAAATATTAATAACTGATTATGTTGTAGTCACTGTAAAGTTTAGTGTTTTGTTCTTCCCTAATATTCAATTCCTCATATTTTGGAGGTTTAATCTAACTTGTAGGGTCATTAAAAACAAATATCCCCTCCTTCCTGTATGTATGTATGTATATACATATATAGGCCTATATATATATATATATATATATATATATATATATACATATACATAGGCCTATACACAGAGAAAAATAATTATACAACAATGTATTTGAAATACATTAATTTTATGCTAAGTATACTACAAATACATTTGCATATTTAAAATAGTATAAATACCCTGCAATTGTCTTTAGAAAAAGCTGAGGAGATATTAAATGATATTAGATATTACATAAGTCACATAACAAAACAAAACTGTCAGAGGCAAACACTGCTTGCAGGGCACAACCTGCCTCTTGCAGAGAATTTTTAGGCTGTTTTCACAAGGCAAAGTTAACCATGAGTAATGACCCTCTGTTTATCCGTATATGTCGGATGTCCTGGAGATGAAATATCTGTCTCTGTGGTTTAATCATCTGTCACTTACTGTGATGTAATCTTTAGAAATAGCAATTGCTCTGACAGCGTAGAACCTCTGGTCTTTTTGTAACATTACATTTTTGTAGAAAGTCATGCTTACATTTGAACATCTTTCTGTTGCACCATGTGTCTGTGATTAAGAGTGTGTGTTTGTAGTGAGTGGTCAGAATGTATCAAATGAATGTAATTGAATAAATGTGTGACATGAAAGTAAATTGCTGCTCCATCTCTGTGTTTGTCCTGCTCATGGTTCAGAATGAACTCTCTGATGCACATGCTAATGGAAAGTATATTGAGAAAATGTTCAGGCCATTGATATGGTTTACTGTATTTTCCTTTAATTATTTAGTCCCTTTTGACAAAGGAATTATTGCACATTTTCCTTTTTCTTTTCTTTTTTATCACAGAATGATTTTGTTTCTCATTTTATTCAGGTTATAACAATAACAATAAAGCAAAATGGATTGAAAATATATATATATATATATATATATATATATATATATATATATATATGCTCTCATTTGGGCCTTGGTGAGTGTTAAATTTGGGCCATGCTTCTGTTTAATCATAATCCTGTCCTAACAATTTTGAGCAGTAAGGCTTTTTTCCTCTCTCTCTCTCTCTCTCTCTCTCTCTCTCTCTCTCTCTCTCTCTCTCTCTCTCTCTCTCTCTCTCTCTCTCTCTCTCTCTCTCTCTCTCTCTCTCTCTCTCTCTCTCTCTGAATTTATAAATGACAAGAAGGCTTAAGATATAGTTTAAAAACCTTTGATGTCCACAGATTTGTAAAAGGTCATATCTTATCTCATCATATCAAGGGATTAAGCATTAGCATTTTGTGTCTGTATTTGTATCTCTCTCTCTTTTATTTGTGCAAATCATAGAAGTATAATTCTGCCTGGTATTTCTGAATTCATAGCAGTAAAGCAAACAGTTGCAGTGTTTCATGGTTCACTGGCCGGTGATGCACAGTCCAGATGGGCAGTCGTGCTGTGTGTGTGTGTGTGTGTGTGTACGCGCATTCATCCTTGTCATTGTATTTGTGTGGGCTTCTGTTTTCTTGGCCATTGGCCTATTAGAAATCAATCAGTGTATGTGTTAGTTTTATTTGACTTGTAAGCATTTTTCTTCACACCATAATGGTCCGTTGTGCTAATGTGTGTGTGTTCTTGTGTGTGAGTAACACAGCAGCATGAGTGTCACTTGGTTCCAGAATCTTCAGATGCACATGCAGGATAAGGAAACCTAACAAACAGCCTAAAGGGCACAGGAATATTTCATTTTTCATTTTCTGGGTTTGTTGGAAGAGACATTTGTGATCATGCATATTTGCCAGGTTTACCGGTGTGACTTTAAAGGCATAGTCCATTCGAAATCTATCTATCTGTCTGTCTATCTATATTTAGTTAGTTAGTTGTAGGTAGGCAAGGAAAATATATGGTTTGAGCAACATTTTCTATTATTATTCAAAATTATCACTATTTATTTGAATCTGTCTGTCTGCCCTCCCTATTTACTGTTAGTAGGTAAGTTAGTTGGTTAGGTAATTAGTTAGTTATCTAATCTTTTAGTTAGTTAGTTAGTTAGTTATCTAATCTTACTGTTAGTTGGTGCATGCTCCTTAACTCAATCTGCTTGCAATCACGTCATTTTCTAGGCAGCTGATTGGTTCCTGCTGTATCAGTAGCCAATGAGCTTATGTGCTAAGTCTTCAAATACTGGTCAGCATTCAGCTTTTAGAAACCCTCCACCTTCCCCAGCTCCACCTGTATAGATCTGCTATGGGTAATTTATGCTGTATTGTACAGCAGCAGCATGTCTTACTTCCTCACAGCAGCTTGTCGTGTATGTATTGGCAGAAGCAAGTCCCGTACTTGCTCTGCATCAGCAGCAATAACCAGCAGCATAACAGATCTAGATTCTGCCAAGACCAAACATATCAACATTGTCATATCCATTACCATGCCAAACACTCAGAGAGTTGTCATGACAGAACTTATCTTATAGTTAGTTAGTTATTAGGCAAGTAAAACATATGGTTTGAGCAACATTAGGTGAGATGATGAGAGCATTTTAATTTCTAGTGAACTGTGTTTTTAATTGTCAGATTGTGAGCTCTGGGCTGCTCAGACACTGCTGAGGGAATAAACCTGATTCTGCTGGAGAGAGAACTGAGGAACTGGGGTGCCTATAAATCCCTTCCTCCACACAGATACCTCTCTGTTAATCGTCGTATTGTGTTATTCATTGCTGATGAGGCTTAATAGTTTTATTTTAAAACTGCTTCGTTTATATTAAAAGATGTGCACATGCTCACACACAGTGGTAATATCGTTCAGAACACACACACACACACACACACACAGAGTAATTAGTTATCGCACTCTGCAGCTCTGAACTCGTTATCAATTCTGTTTTACGACGACTATACACTATCACAAGAGACAGTAATGAGGCCTCACACTCACACACACTCTCACAAGCTCATACTCTTACTGAAACACTTTTAACGGTCATACTGAAAAATATTTGAATGCTTGTCTTCTGTCTGTCTGGTCTTCCAAATGCTGCATGTTGTTAGTTTATTAATACAAAAAAGTATTGTGACAGTATCATAGTACTTTAGTATACAGGTCCTTCTCAAAAAATTAGCATATTGTGATAAAGTTCATTATTTTCCATAATGTAATGATAAAAATTAAATGAATCTATATTTTAGATTCATTGCACA